TCATTTTTAATTATTCTTCTTTTTTAGTTGTTTCAGGGATTTCAAATCATTTTATATAGTAGACAATGGAAGTCCGAACTAATGAAATTCATCCTTTGGAATTATTAGGCATGGTAGTTCTGGAAGTACGATTTGGTTTTACCTAGGCACAAAGGTACCTGACAAACTAAACAAATCCAGTCAGTGCGCACCTGTTTAACTTTTGAACTATACATATAATACACATCTCCTTCTCGTGCTTCGCTCCTGTTGATGTTTTGAAGACTGCTGTCGCACTTCAGCGGGAACAAAGGGCTTAGATTTTTTAATTTGTACTGGAACTATATAGATTGAGAAGATGATCTTTTATTAGATACTAGTTTTTCAGCAACTAAACCATTAATGACTTGACGTCGGAAGTGTTTGGAAGACATTGTTGGTAATTGTAGCAGTTTGTAAATACAGTACGGATTTACGACCGCTGCATCTCAAAGGTAGAACATAATTCTATGCCACCATTTCTCACTTCGTCTATCAATTCTATAGCTTGCCAGCAGTTGATCGAATTTATCTACGAAATTCATGTTTTGATTGTAGTCAATGACCGCGGCAGAACATGTAATCGCTTTTATAGTACCATCCTTCTCCTTGCGTTGTACTTCACAAATGTTTTCAGGATCATGATAATTAGAAAGAATATCTGTTTAAAAAATCTATTTAAAATCTGTTTTTTCGTTAACCAGCTGTCGCAACCCTACGAACGACAACCCTCAGAAGTCGAAACTTGTGCTAGCTAAGGATTAACGAGGTCTTACCTTTTAACGTGTGATTCCTAACACGGGTTGGACGATAGCAAGTGAAAATCGATCGTTCAGACTAGGGCTTGAACCACCGACCAACACGGCAGTCAATTCGAGTGAGTGAACAAAGCACCCACGTCGAACCGCCTGGCTACCGACCGATCCAAATATGTACGGACCTATTATCCTTCCACTTTATGACTGCTAATCCAGTGTTGCTTGTGAACCATTGCATATCACCGGAAAAAATGACACCATAAAAGTTTCAACCGACGCGGTGGTACACGAGAAGTACCACAACAATACATTTTTTATGTTTACTTGTAATGTAATATTTTCAGTTTTGATGCTAATGACACCTACTTTAAACATTAGCTATCCAATTTTCTTCAATTATTGCAAAAAAACTAATTTTTTTCATACAATAAGACCACAAAACAAAGCACATCAGTTGAACGTACAAAGTTTTGAGGTTAGTGGTTGCAACACAAGACCAAATCCGTAACCAACTGTTGTGAGTTGCGTTTAATGTGCACAAGATGGCAAAAGTAGTGGTTCTAAAAATGTATCACTGCAACCAGAGCAATAGCTCTATTGAGAAGGTGGTACACTTTATTCACCACCGCACCCAAACGTGGTGGTACATGGTGGTTTATTCTATGCACCGTGGTTGCCTAAAAATTTCATTACCCCAAGATCAAAAAAATCACAAATCAAGAAATGGGTAACTAACATATTTTGGTAAAAGAACAGAGATATTTGCGGGTTTCTTCAGAAAAAATAACGTAGAAGTGACATTGAGACCACATGCCAGGTTATCTGATTTTCTTTTCTATGCAAAAAATAAAGTGGAAAAGTTGGAGAAATCTAGAGTTTATGAGCTGATAGTCTCACCTCAGTTGAATTTCCAGTTTGCTCTTCTATAATATCACTTGCAGCGGTTAACATCACAACATATCCATAGTTGTTACACAGTCCCAATATCCAATAGGCTATAAGAGTTCTCAGTCTTCTATTTCTTTTGAGCGTTAGCAAGTTAATTTGGCCAGATTCGGGAGATTCAGAAGAGGTACTATCATCCTGGGGAATAACCATTTTGATACTACTGAGTGTAGAACGTTTTGTTTATATAAATGGAGAATATCTGAAAAAAATGGATTTGATTATTATAAAACTGAAGAATGTCGACAAGTACAAATCATTCATTAATTACTTATTTTATTATTATTCGGTTGCAAGTACTTAGTGTCCTCTCGATAAAATAATAATTTTAGAAAAAAGTTCAAGAGTTTTATTACTTAATGGGGATTTCCAGGACATACATGAGTTGGGGTGAAATTTGACACGAGAACAAGTGAGAAAACTATAAATAATTCCTTAATGGACGTCATCCTCAAGATACAGTACCGCGTTTGGAAAATTTAAAACATAAATACCTCATAAATGAATTTGCAGTTCTGTATTACCGATTGTTAACCGAGTTTCATGATTGGGTGAAGAGTCATAAAATTAAATTTGAAGTCATGTTACGGTGACGAATAGAATGCGAGGATGGTTAGAAAAGTCGTGTTGTCAGTGTTCAGTTCAGGAACTGATCGCGATTTGAGTGTTAAAATTCGATATTGGTGCAGCACCAATTACTTATAATTTTCGTTATCTGTTTAAAGTGTGGCGTCCTTGGACAAGTACTAATAGCAATAACGAGTGTGATAACAACGCAGACTTTTTCCTGTATAGTAATGTAATAAATCTGAAGCCGGCCCTGACCGATGTCCCAGTCAGCAAACGCATGACGCATCGCGAAACAGTGCGAAAGGTCCGGATGGGTCCCGAAATCCGCAGAGAGATCCGGAACGTTCGTTGACGATATAAAAAGGTCGCTCTCCGTCCCGAGGAGTAGTGTACGCAGCTATTTGTAGAACTACAGCTGTANGATTACATCAGGTACTATTCTTTATGTTGGATCTTCTCTAGGTTTACTGTTTCTAGCAGTGTGTATTGATTTGTTTAATATATTGAATGTTAGGTCTTGTTGTGTTTTGATTTGTACTTGTTCCTCGATAAGTGATTTATGACTGTTAAATTTATGGATGTTTGAGTTTCCCCAAATGTTCCAGTTGTCTATCCAACTGTATTTTTTTCGTTGTGGCACGCGGCCTCCTTCTCCTGGTTGATTGGTGGGCCACAGTAATTATTCTGTCACTTTGACTGGCGAACAAACTGATTTCAAATAGTATTATCACTCAACTGTCAGTTCTCTATTCACCTGTATTTTTTTTATTGTGGCACGCGGCCCCCTTCCCCTTATTTATTAGCGGGTCTAATTTATTGGTGTCACTGTGACGAGAGAGCGAAATAATTAGAAGTGGTATTTTCACTCAACTATCAGACCTCAAGTCAAATGTGCTTTTTCATTGCGACCCCCTTTGCTAGTTTACTGGTGAGCCACACACATTCAGTTTTCTGTCACAGTTGAACGAAATGAAATTGGGGTGCATTTCAACACCTTATCAAGCTGTTTTTTTAAACACCTCTGTTAATTTATTCTTAAACTTAACGATGCAAAACTTGAAACAATATTTTCTTTTTTGGTAATCGCAAAACATGATCAGAGTAAAACTGAAAGGGTTTTATTTTTAGGGGAAATAAATTTTTGGAAAAGAAAGGTTTTTGCTTTCTACTTCTTCATCTTTATATAAAAATGTGGCAATCTTCCAAAGTAAGAAAAAAAGCAATTACTTTTTTTCACAAAGATGTGTAGATCATGTAAATAAGTAACTGATTTAACACATTCGTGACATAGAGTCACGTTATGTTATAAACGAATCGAGTATTTGATCTTGTAATGTTATCAATGTTGGTGCCGAAGAGGCAATAGGGCAAATGTCTTATTCTGAAACATCGATATCCGCCATTGAGGATGACATTGTTCCATGTAAGTAAAATTTTGTCTCTTTCATTTACTATATCGTGTAGCGTTCCTGTGATTGATATCTGATTCAATTCCAAAACGATTGTTTGGAATACAAACTGAATAGTACAAAGTATTTTTTGTATACTCCATCTCTGTTTAATTTTTTCGGTCAACATATTTGATGGAAAAACAGAACAAAACTTTCAAAAAATGAATAATAAACCAACTTTCGTTTGAAGGTGATTGACAATGGTTGACCAGTTGTAGTGAAAATATATATGGAATGGTTTGAGACTCTGGCCATTGAAGAAGACGACAAGAAGCCCCGTGATAGGTCGAGAAACATTGACGACACCTTCATGGTATGGAACCATCGGAATACAGAACTAGACACCTTTCTGAAGCACATCAACAGCGTAAAATCTTCCATCGCCTTCACAATGGAGAAGGAAGTCCCCAACGAATTGCCATTCTTAGAAGTGGGAAAGAGGACCGACACTGAGTGGGAAACACCCATATACCAAAAACCCACTCACACGGGACAGTATATGAATTACAAATCCCACCACCATCAATCAACCAAAACAGAATTCATCAAGACTCTCGTGAATCGTTCTTTCAGGTTCTATAATACGAAGGAAGGTTTCGAGAAGGAACTAGCCATCACCAAAGAAGATCTTCAACGGAGTGGTTACTCCAAAGTATTGATGGAACAGACTTTGGCTGGAATACAGAAAGAGCGTCGCAAGGAAGAGAAGCCGTCACAACCAGTACTCACCCTTCCCTACGTCACATGATTCTCGAAAAGGATAACAAGAATTGGATCCAAGTACAACATTAGAACCTGCTTCAGATTCGGAAATACCATCCGTAGCAGATTCACGAAAACCAGGCCACCAAACGCGGACTGCGATTCCAATAATTGCATTACCCGAATACCCTGTGAGTGGGGAAAATCTTTTATCGGTGAAACTAAAAGGCCATTGAAAGTCAGCGTTGTCGAACACAAGAGAATCACATAGCGAGGAGAAGCCAGTAAATCGGGAATAGCAGAGCATGTTTGAACTCATCGAAATAACATGAAGTGGTCCCAAGCTGAGATCATCCACATGGAGGAATACTGGTTAAAGAGGAAGTTCAAAGAAGCTGCATATATGTTGTCCAACGACGTATTCAGCCAAGCTAGCGTAGAGATAAGCAATATGTGGAAACCTGTAATCAAGCGGGAAAACGACCAACTCCCGCTGAACGGTCAACCCAGGAAGCGGAGAGGGAAGAGGGGATAGGTAAAAGCGCTCGAATGACCTATAAATAGTCATCTCTCGGAGGAATAGTACAGTCATCACCCGAAGTCGACTGTGGGTATTAACAATCGAAACGTCGTGAAGTAACTTGGTTTGAGGATTTTTCAATTTTTCTTTTGTGAAAAAAACAAAGTATTGTGATCTACTATATGGAAATTAATTTACACGATAAGTTAAATATCAATATATTTGAAAAATTTGAAAAAAACATAAATAAGTAAATGAAATAATGAAGATGATGATGGAAAAATGCAAAAAATTGAAAATGAAAAATGTTTCAAACCATGCTACTTCACGACGCGACGTTTAGATTGTTAGTATCCACAATCGTTATCATCTCATTACGTTTTGCAGGGTTTTGATATATTTTGTAGTTCAAGTCTGACAGACCTACACGAGTAATTATATTTTGTAAAATCCTGACTTGTAATTATTTCATTGTTGATCCGATTTTCACAGATTTTGAATGTAATTTTTCAAATCAGTTATCAGAAAGTGGAACAATTTTAGATAGATTGTGCGAAAGAACAAATACGTCTTTGAATTGTTTAGATGGAGATGAAGATGCCCTCAATGAGGACGAATCAGATTCTAAAGTAGACTTTCTGGAGGAAAAAGCTATAGATAATGATGCGAAACGAGATGGAGTCATGTCTAATGATGAAACTGTTGAGCAGTCACAACAACAAACTTGAAATCCAACATTTATTAGGTAGGTTCAACTTACATAAAATGTAGCCAGAAACATTCGGCGTTGACCAATGTTATGAGCTTATGAGTGTCATTAAACAGCATCGTGACAGATATCGCCAGCAGCTCGTGCTGAAGGCATCACCATTTTGAGACTTCCTCCTTACCATTGCGAGTTAAACCCACTAGAATTAATCTGGGCTCAATTTAAGGGTTACGTAGCTCGTGAAAACGTGACATATAAAATTTCTGACGTCCAACGTTTATTAGAACTCGCAATGGAACGGATACGGAAAGAAGATTGGGCTAATGCTGTTGCCCATGTGATCAAGGAAGAAGAGAAAATGTGGAGATTGAACGGGATGGTAGACACTGTTTTCGACCAAATAACAATAGATTTAAGTGTGACTGGGGATTCCTCTTCGGACTAGTCAATGGATTCCGAAACTTCATAAGCATAACATAGGTAATTATTTCCTTGCTTTGTAGTTCTCTTTCTATATAAAGGGAACATAATAATTATTTTGTAAATTTTTCTGTTTTTTTGAAGTACTGTATTAGGCATAATAGAAAAATGTAATCAGTTTTACCATTGACACCAGGTAGCGCCACCTACTATAACAATGTTTACGTAATTACCTATGTGTTTAAATAAATAAAAATATCATTTTGGTACGCCTCTGCAGAGCTGGTAAGAGGATTATCTGTTGGTCACTTCAAGTGCGACGTTGCTAATGAATCACCTTCAATTGAAAATTGTTATAGTATAGTATCGTTCGCGCATTCAAAGCAACCACTATGAAGTCTGCTGCTGCTGGGATACCACCATCAAATGGTGGTATCCCTTTGCGCTTTGGAAGCAGAAGCGGCATTTGCTGGAAGACGCCACCCAAGGAGGTACGACGTGCACCGAAAGAGGAACCAGGAAGAAAGGTTTTCTGTTATACGAGTACCCCTACCACCCTTCATGCTTTATCTCTTTCCAGTTTGTTGGCAAAACCGGAGTTGCTTTTGTCCCACAAACAAGGGTGATTTCCTAAGCTTTAAATTAAAGTTATCACTTCCATGCTCGAGTCACAACTGGAAAATCGCTCGGAAATAGCCATCACTGTCGGGTCCCATTCATTTACCTGAGTTCTCCCTCTACTTGGTCGCCCTTGTCCTCCGAATGTGGCTCGGAATTCGACGACCGGTCGTTTGTAAGAAATCGCCGCTGGGAAACCGCGCTGGAGAAAGCCGCTGAGAAATCGCGAAGTATGTCACCGGCCATAGAGAGCATATTACTTATTTTTTTGTTACGTTCAAGAGAACTGAACATGAAGTGTAGAATTGAATATTTTATCACATTATTTCTTGTTAAACTCATTATAAACAAAATACCCATGAATCTGTTTCAGCTTATAGGTAGTACGTCGTTCTGATATCCGTAATATCAATACTAGGTTCAACAATTTCAATATTCCAAGTCATGTTACATTTGCATTTCTTATCTGGCACCGTTATACTTGAACAGGATAATTCCTTTCCTGAATTCATCTTTATATGAAGTGAAAAACATAATTTGAAATCAACTTTGCTGAATAGTATGGAGTAATGTAGTGTTTTTGTTTGCTTTTTTCCAGTTTGAGATGTATTCATCACACTCTCTCTTAAATTATGTGAGCTTGGAGAAAATTGAATGATATCATTCCAATATCTTATCACTCGAAAATGTTAATTTTTATCATTAATCAAAAGGAGTGGAAGATAGCCATAGGCTAACCCCTACCCTTTTGTGTGTAATTTATGCACAATAAAGTTATTATTATTATCATTATTAATTTACTCTCGCTTGGGAAGAAACAGAACTCGATTCCTAAGTCGGAAATTAAACTATAAATAATCTGTACATCATTCACTGATTGAAGTTGATTTTGAGATAAAATAAATTCATGTCAGTTAGTTGACACAATAGTCCATACCGCTAGATTCGTGAGAAATATATTGCAATTTCAGATTTTATGAAAGACTATAATGAGACGATTTCAATAATCTACTTAGGGCTTTTTTCATTTTTAAGTAGATACTATGTATATAGAGGACGATTATGTATACAAACAACTAAACGTCACAAAATAAACAATGACGCCCCTTACCCATGAATCGTCATCAATAATCCAGGGTGTCTAAAGAAATTGGTGTTGTTTGAAAGGGGATATTAATCAGTAGGATGAAAAGTTTAACAGTGAGCAGGTAAACTAAAAACAACATGATGACAGAAAGTTTTCGGTTGCATTGGAATTATTTGATAAACACAATTCAATATTAGCTAAACACCACCGATCATCCTTATTTTGAGCATTTGAATAATGCTGGACTTCTGACTAAAATCGCAATTTGCATTGCCTATAATTGAACTTTTTGCAATAAATTTGATAATACGAAATTTTCAACTACTTCCACACTTCCACTACTTCACGCCACTGGAATGGGAAATATTTTGTTTGGCATATGTTTATGTGACCAATAATCTGGCACGGATATTAATTTTAGTAAGGAACATAACCTAACATTAGAAACTTCCATAAATAATTCTGTCAAATCTCTTCATCGATAAAATGTAATGATTTACTTACAGTAAAAGGAAAGTAAACTCTAACAACACAAAATCCACATGGTCATTGCTTACACGCGCACAAGTAAGCTCAACAATCTAACTGACTGGATCCAGAATATTTGTTTGTTATCGAGGTAGGTACCTGTTCTTCAGTCTCATTTGGAGGTTTCACAAGCTAATAAAGGGAGGAAGACACTGTAGTCTTTCATGTGATTCAGAAATATTCCTAATCATTCAAAAAATAGAATTGATTAAACCGATCAGAAAGATAGTCTATATACAAAGGTACAAAGGAAATAATATTAACTGAACCTTGCAATCACAGTCTAAATAACTTCAATGCCTTTTATATAGGCAACTAAGGATACACGTCTAATGTTTTTTAAGAAATCATGAGTGATAAGCTTATAAATGTTTATATAAGAGACTGTACTAGTGGGAAATCCACACTAATTATCATTGACCAGGGCCGAATTAAGTTGTGTCGTCTTAAAGTAATTCTTGGAAGTCTGATCAATACCGAACGGGCGCAACGAAGGGGATTGTCGACCTACAGTCCCGCATCCCTCAGAAAGTTGAAAAATTGTTTTTCATGAAATAGTTTTTAGAGTTATGTACGAATTTATAATTTCGTATTTTATGTCTTCATTTTTTAATCGTTTTTTACATTATAGGTGTCTTTAATGATTGACTTTATAAAAAAAACATTTTGTGGGAGACTAATGTTTATCAAAAACCTTTTTGGCCAATAAAGTCCGTATCACATTGGATTTTTGCAAAATAGCCAATTTTATTTTTGGCACACAAAATTTAAGAAAGTGATTCACGAAAAATTTCAACGAATTTTATTTAGTGAAACACGTTCGTGTTTCACTGAACAAGATGGCGTCATCAGGAGATTATATTTCAGTGTAATGATGATAAAAACTCACTTGGTGAAAGGCGCAGTTCTCCTATGTGGAAGCTAATTTGATTTTTCATTAAAAAAAAGTTGAATGGCGGAATTTTGATGAAGTGTTCTTTGGAAGAAACATTGAGAAATACATATGTTGTGATATGCCAAATAATTTATAATTACAATGACTACCAAAATGTATAAAAAATATACAGGTTTGTATTGAAAAAAAATTTAATTTATGGTGGATTTCAATGAACGAGACGTCGCATTGAACAATGGGTTGAACCATATTATGAAAAACATGAAATGAAACAAGTTTTTTATCATTTTTTGATATTATTGAAAATGGAGGCGGTAGAGAAAAAAACAATATTTGTCATTTACAGTTTTATGCAAATATCTTTCGATCTCAGAATACCATCACCTTCCATCCCTGAAAAGGCCACTTTTGTTCCATTTAACCGTTCTTGTTGGACATACCGTTTCCGAAATAATGATAGTGGTATTAGCCGAAAAACAGTCTGTATAATTACAATAAATAATATATTTTCCCCCTTAAATGAGCTCCATAATGACATATCTATTTAAGCTCAGTGTAATTAAATTTTTTGTATTACTCATATTATTTCTCTTTTCCATTTCAGCGTGCTCTTGAAGATATAAGAATGGGAAGTTCTACCCTCTAGGAAGTTCAGTACAGAACATTCGAAAGCATTCCATACATTCCAGAACATTCAAGAACTTTCTGGAATGTTGTAGACTCTTCAAGAATAGTCTGGAGCGTTTTAAAACATTTTGGATCACCTCAGATAATTGAGGAACATCATTGAACACTCTGGAAATTTGTTAAATATTCGGGAATCGTCTGGAGTTTTCGAGAACATCCCGGAATATTCCTGATCTTAGTGGAACATTCCAGAACCCTCTCAAATGTTGTGGAATGTTCTGGAAAATTGTGATTCAATCAGAGCTTTTTTGTATTGGAGGAACGTGAGTTTCCTATCAGTGAAATGAAGTTAGTGGGGCATCAACCTCAAATACTCTTGCTTTTCTCACTGTCAACTTTACGTAGCTTACTCTCGAGTAGAAAATTCGAAAAAATTGTACATATATACCCCGGATAACAAAAAAGTTTATACATAAGTTTTCACTTTTTACAATTTAAAGTTTATCCTTTTATTCCAATTACCTCACAATCTCATATCAACTCCCTGAGCAAAGCCGTGTACCACAGATAGTATTGAATAAAATATAGTTATTAACTTATTTTGTTGATGATAAATAGGTAATCATGCATGTATGTTTTTCTCTTTTACAGAACATCGGGAATATCAAGTGTTGTGAACTACTCAACGAGGATGAAAGGCAGATCGAGGAAATCAACCTTAGAAAATGTTAAACCTCAGTCTGAAATCCAATTAGGAAATGACTTTTCTCAAGCTAACAAAATCTTGAGAACAAAATTAACTCAATTTATTACAAAATCTTGACCTTCAATATACAATCTATGCCAGAAACCACTCCAGTAAACGAAAGGTCTACGTTTCAAAAGCGGTAGCAATATGATGTTTTTTACAAACATCATATTGTATTTAGGACAGTTCCTTGTTTCTCGATTGATATTAAAGAGTTGTAGTTATTCTGAATTCAATGTAGTATCATTTTACTACTGATTTTTTGGACTACAATTGTGAAAACTATTTTGTGATATACTATTTACTATATTCAATTCATATGTCAAATATTCTGTAAGTGTTTTTTGTTTCGAGAGAGCTTTTTCTTTCATTTCATTTCAGTTTTCCATTGAGTGAAATTTTACTTCTTTCATATACTATAATGTGTAGCAATCCTGTGAATTATATCTGATTCAATTCAATAACGAATGTTCGGAATACAAACTGAATGGGAGAAAAGTGTTTTTTGTATGATTCGGTGTTCTTGTAAAAATAGTTGTTTCGAAATGTTTATATGAAGGTAGTTAGGGCTTTTTTTCCAGTTTCTGCATGAAAGTTAAGTTGTGAATAGTTAATGTTGAAACTAATTCCTTCCTTTCTTTGGAATGTTCTCACATTTTTTTTTTATAAAGATGGAGAGGTAAAAAGCCGAAACCTTTTCTATATACCCCTTTCAATTTAAAAGAGATAGTGCCGTTTTATCAGAAGTTCCTGTAGTTTCTTTGAAAAACTGGGAAATATTATTTTCATGATCTTCGTCAGGAACAACACTGTTCATGTAGCAAGTAGAAGATCCTGAGGCGTCCTCCAAATATTTCCAACACCTTGTAGTATAATTTCCCAAAGCGAGATGGGATCAGTTTGGTAGCATTGCTTAATGTGCGGGAATTCAAAACATTATTATGGAATGCCGTTTTACTTTTTATTTCCACAAAAAATCATTCCTCAATTTATTCACTTAAAAATTTATTCGTTTCAACATACACTTAATTTCTGTAAATTATTTTTTCTATATTTACCATAATTCCTGCCAAACACGAATAAAATAGTTTATTGATATCGAGGGGATTTTTGCAGAAGCTGAAGTTTTAGGAAGGCAACGCCGAATTATGATAATCAAAAATCAGTTCAGTTCATGTATGATCTAAATCTTATTGTTTCTCTTCATAAACATTCATAATCAATTCTGAAAATAAGAAACAATTTTCTCTGAACACTCTCAATAGCTATGATCCATAAAAAGGAGACCAGGCAATGATACCAGCACGTTCAATTTTAGATCTTACTTAATCGCAAAACAAAGTTTTCAAAGCTTCTACATTAGTGAAGTTTCTACAATTTGTGAATATGAAACAATATGTTTCAAAGTCTCGTGTTACCTTCAGGCTAGCAAAAATAACAACCAAATCATTAAATTCACTGAAAGGCTCTATATCAGTACTAATTTCCTAAGAATATGACAATGTTGTTTCCTTTGTGGTACCTAAAGCTAATGGTTCATGTGATGCACTGTTTGGAATCTTGGTGTAGTAATGACTATTACTGGAGTTTTTTCCCAACACCAAATCGTTATTTTTACACCTCGACACGTGTTTCGATTACCAAGTGATCATCTTTAATAGAAAGATCTTCCTCTTGAAGTGCACTTTGAATAATAATTTAGTCACTACTAACTCTATTCAATGCTGAAGTTTTTATTGTCCCTAAGAGCTAAATCGATGTTTTTGTTTCAGAGATACTGCCATCGATTTTTCTTTCTGCTCGTGTCAAAAGACATCTGGTGAATACTACAAAAAATTTCCAAGAACTCTCCTGATTTTCAATTAGCCTCCATTCAAATACATACTAAAAAAAACTGAGATAGGTACCATGCTCACAAAAACTCTATATCCTTGTGCTCAGCACTAGAAACAAGATTTCAGATTAGAATAGAATACACCTTCATTTCATAATATGTATCGTAATAGTTAAACAAAATACTCCATTCAATTCAAATATGTTGCTATTGATTGATTGATGATTAAATTGCATCTTAAATAAATTTTAATGCAGATTTGAAGAAAAAGTGTTATATCTTTTGTCTTATCCATTAATGGATCATATTCATGATGAGCTTCGACCCAATTCGAGAGTTTGAATATTGCACATGATTCCTAGTACAGAGCGAAGTGGTCAGGACTATATAAAGTAAAAAAATAGGTAGATAGTAAAATAGAGGAGAGAATTGCATAACGGCCCCGGAAAACTAAAATATAAGTAGATTTGACATTGAAATCTCATATTTAATGCATCGTACCTGTGACAGCGACCAGAAATAGCTTTTCAGCAGTTTTATTATTCATGAATCGAACAATTAAACCAGTCAAGGGATGCCATTTAGTGGAAGTGGTAAGCGGTTAGGCATGTTACGTCGATTATGCATATTCAGATAATTGGCTTTTGCGTCATATACATTATGATAATATTCATTGACTTATATCTCTAAAATGATAAGTGATTGACAGTAAGGTATGTGAAAAAAACTGGAAGTCATAGTTTGAAAGTATATCCGTAAAACCCTAATTTGAAAGAAGTTTGAAAGAAGCTGGTAAATTAAATCTGCAGATCAACATGGGATATTTATCAGTAATTCATTCTAGCTATAACTGCATGACGCATAGAAATTCATATTGATAAAACGAGTTTCCTATTGTTATCTTCTGTGATTTGAAAAATAAGAAATTTCAAAAATATTTGGCACTGTCATTACCCACAACCGATTATTCAACATCAAATGACTCATTACTATCGGGGGAATAATAATATGCTGAACAATATTGTTAGCATCTGCTGAACAATATTGTTCAGCAACTGCTGGGTAGGGAGACCACTGTGTCGAATAATAATAATAATATGTCTTTATTCCCAGAATGATCGTTTCGAATTCTTCGTTGGTAACTTCCTCTTAAACCAATGTTCCTTCCTGTGGATGATTTCAGCTTCGGACCAGTGATATTATGTTGGTCCAAACATGCTCCGCTGTTCCCGATTTGCTGGTTTCTTTTCGCGGTGTATATTTCTTGTTATCGGCAATGCGAACTTTCAATGGCCTCTTAGTTTCATCAATGTATGATTCTCCGCACCCGCAGGGTATCCGGTAGATGCAATACTTGGGATCGCAGTTCGCGTTTGGTGGCTTGATTTTCTTGAGACGGTTACGGATGGTGTGTACAGATCTGAAGTAGGTTCTAATATACTTAGACACAATTCTGCGTTTTCTCTCCGACAGTTTGTTTCACTCGTTTCCAGGGAATGTTTCACCAGCTTTTTGTAGTAACTATTCCATTGGAGATTTTTCCTGATGGGGACCAATTCTTTGTAACACTACAAGAGATTTCTCCAAATATTCCTTCGAGCAGAATAACCATTTTGGAATGGCTTGAGTGGAGTCTTTTCAGTATGCAGAGCAAACTCGGATATTTTCGTGCTCTTTAAAAAACTAATCTTCTCACCTAGAGCTCAAAACTCCAAGATGACCCGTCTTGATTGTCAGATCATTAATAAAGTTGCTATTCAAAGCCAGTTTCAATAAATGTTCCCAAGGAACAATAAGTCTGCCAGATTGACAAAACAATAATCGTTACTGTATAGAGGCTCGTTGAAGGCACTAAAAAGAATGTAACAAAATAATTGGTTTTTTGAGTTCACTGATATAGAGGGTAGCGTTGACACAATCCCACAAGGAATCGTTAGAGAAGCGAAACACTGATTCATTAACTTCATATATACGAATTGTTCCTTTAGATGATTTGATTCATTTATTTCACAACTCAAAATTATTCTTTTATCTAGTATCACTAGATAAAAGAATGATGGTACAATCTCAGAACCTAAACTGGAATGCAAAAGAAGAACTTATTTTTAATCGTTTCAAAAAACAGTTTTGGTTCCTTTCTGTGAAAAAGTAAAAGACATTTTATCTAAAGTTCAAAAGCAGCCTTGCTATGCCAGACAGTATTAGGAAAGACATAATGTACCTATTAGTTTGAGTAAAGCTTGTCAAGTTCGAAGATTAATCCGGTTACTCGATAAGTTTTCTCGGCTTCTTTTCAAAAAATGTTCATCTTTTCCGGAGTTGAGAATTACATGGTGTATATCATCTTAGCGAGATGGTCGATGAAGATAGCAGGATCAATAGCTTGTATTTGCCTGAGGGAGTTGTATGAGTAACTGATGTCTCATCAATAACACAGAAATTCTGGGTATGGTAATGCAGCGTTTATATAAAAGAGCAAATACACATCATCATTCTTATTGGTAATATCATTCAACGTGGTCAAGTTTTTTACCAGAGTTTCCAGTATTCCAGTGAGTACTAGTAACTGACTGTTTCCCATATCGTGTGCCAGGAGTGCACCCAGGATTTTGTTTTCTGGGGTCGGCTAAAATAAGATTCATCATAGCCTATTCGGTATTAACTCAGAGTGAAAAAATTTCAAGAATGCAAACATCCCGGTACATCAAAGAAAGCAACATACTCGTCTCAAGCAAGTGGCACTGCAATTCATCCACAAAGTCACTGGAATATTTCTACCCGCTTTGCCTCTTGAGGACTTCGCTAAGGAGCCATTAAAATAGTGACTTGCCACAAAAAACTTCTTAAGAGGCGGTCACGCTATTAATAATCATATTATAGAAAGGAAGTCCACTAACATGAGCAGAAAACTAAAGAGTATTCTCAGATTTTTTCGGAATTCAGAGAAATAGAACCAATTATTAAGAGCGGAAAATGAAATGTTACAGTAGTCTTCTGATCTGCGATCACATACCCTTTTCAAAATTTTTGTTTAGTGTTCACCTGCTTTCACATTCATTCTCGGTATCGTCTCTTCATAATAATATGTTACTTGATTATATCATCTCCTTGCCTTTTCATCAACTTTTCCAAACATTTATATGCAATTGGTCTTTTATCTTTTAGATCTTAAATTTGTATTAAATTTGCAGTTCCAATGTGAATAGGTACATTGAAATAAATCATTTTGAAAATCAAAATCATTCATTTGGCAAACATATAAAAAGTATCATCTACCTAGGACAAATATTGATATTATTTTAAAAATACTCCTTAACGAATAAAATATATCTGGGGAGATTAAAAAAATTGTTAGAAACATTATTATAGAGGTGAAAAAAAAAATGAAAATAACCAGTATTAATAAGGAATTGTTGGTTTAAGAAAACAAGCATGATACTTTTGAAACCCAAAATCTTAGAACCCAAGAGGACAAGCAAAAATATATATGGCACGTGACATGATACAAAAAAGACACAAAATGAGAATTGTAAACTGAAAATAATAGATATATCTAGGAAAATGCACAG